TGAACCTCTCCCTATATATATATATATATATATATATATATATATATATATATATATATATATATGAGAGAAATTAGTATGCTTGGTACCAAGCATAAGTTTTTGTGATTGGTAGTAAGTTTGCATATTCCTCTCCACTCATTGAAATCGGGGCCCACATTCACATGGGTTAGGGAGTGATTGGGAATTGGAAGAAGTAGATGAGAATATAATACCTCACTATCAAGCATAAATTTTGTGCTGAGAGAAATTAGTATGCTTGGTACCAAGCATAAGTTTTTGTGATTGGTAGTAAGTTTGCATATTCCTCTCCACTCATTGAAATCGGGGCCCACATTCACATGGGTTAGGGAGTGATTGGGAATTGGAAGAAGTAGATGAGAATATAATACCTCACTATCAAGCATAAATTTTGTGCTTGGTACCATGCATACCTATTTTTTTCTCTCTCTCTCTAGATATATAGAATAAAAAATTAAAGAAAAAAAATTAAGAAAAATCTACAAATGCATATTTAATTTATAGGGATCACATGGAAGTTGCCGGAGAGGTGAAGTCGTTGAAGGAGAAGAGACGAGGTGGTGGAAGAGTTGTCATAACTGTTGGAGGTAGCCCGAAAGGTGGAGACGCTATTGTAGATGAAGAGGTGGAGAGGAAGAGGAGAAGAGGAGCTGGTGGAGAAGAGAGGAGCCAAAGAGGTAGGTGGAGAAGAGGGAGATGGAGAGATGAGAGCATTGTTGTAATTGATGGAGGTGGCGGAGGAGTTGGAGGAGAAGAGAGGAGGTGGTGGTGAAGATAGGAGTTAGCGGCGAGAGGCGACTGGATGGACATTGGGGTTTGATAAACTTTGGGTCTAGTTTAGTACAGGGTTGAGTTTAATTAACCCAAACTCCACTTTAATCGCTTTTAATTAGTGGTAAAAAAACCTTAAAATAGATTTTTACTGCTAGTTCACTCTTTCAAACACTTTTGCGACTGAAAAGCAGTCATGAGCGCTTTTGTCCACCGCTAAGGCCTTACTCTGCATGGCGGTACTGCTAACACAAATAGTGCCTCTATTTAAAATAGTGATTAGATTGTAATAACATAGAGTTATGATATGCTGAGTTATTTCATCAAGTTACATAACATTTAAGGCATGTTAGATTATGTAATGCAACATAATAAACAGTGTTTCAAAAAGGCCGATTTTATCGATTTATCGACTGTAAATAGGGGTTAGGTCATGGCCGATATGATTTTTGTAAAAATTTACCGCATATCAATTTTAGCCGACTTATCCTAGTATATCAGTGTAAATCTGATAAAAAGGCCAATTTCTTGTCGGTTAAAAATTGCCCTATTTTTTACAATTTACATTCTAGGTGAACCGATTCGGATTTGGAGGAAAAATCCTCTTTTTTCCATGCCCGACCCACATCCACTAAACAAAAACTATGCTATCCTATTCTACTTCACATTTACTTGTTGTGTAACCCTAATTCTCTCTTTCTTTATTGTTTTTTTCCCCAATCGCTCACAAATTTCTCAGTTGAGACCTCTATCGACGACCTCTTTCGAAGATCATCTCTTGATATTTTATTGAATATGCTTAGATTGCATTTTAGGAGATTATATTATATATGTTGACCATCCGTTATGACACTCTGGTTTTTACTACGTATCCTGAATATATCCATGATATCCAGGATCCGATATGAATTTTGGGCGTTTGGTATATTTCCTATAACCGATATTTAAAACATTGATAACAAATTTCGTGAGGGCTTTTTTATACGATGGTGGGAAGTAAAGCATATATTCTTGTTATACGTACACATAGCATGAGTATAAGTATTTTGCTAAATTGATACAGCTGTCATTGTCTCAAAGAAGAGATGGGACCTCAAATAACTAAGAAAACATTATCATGAAATATTTCAAATTTCTGAATTACATAGGAAAAAGGAACCGTTAACTTGAAAGGTATTCATGAAATCTTATGTCTTTTTAATATTGACAATAACTTTATGCTATTCTTTAAAGCCAGTGTAACCTGGGTACATTGTTGTCTCTAAGTGTAATAACCAGATGCTAGATTGCACAAACTATTCCAAATGAGTTCTATGTTCGTGTCTGATACATACGGACATTAACACTTGCCTGAATTTTTTACTAGACATGCCATACGCATCTCAAATTAAATATGAAAGATGTGTTTTAAATCATTATCAGTTCAAACCAAAGTTCAAAAGGTTGCTCATCAAACACCTTGGACGTATCTCTTAAACTGTTAGAAGAAACTATACTAACTAATGTTGAAATGCATTGCAAATATACTTATATACAAGAACCATCAAGGACTTGTAGTAGGTCCAATATTGGGGTTGTTAAGCCTGGGTGTCTTCACATCTTTATATAAATTTCTGATTCATACTTGTGAGTTAATAAAATATGGCAACCTATACCGAGAATTGGCTAGCGTCGAATGGACACATGGATTCATGTAAGATCGATATTGACTATCAATAGGACTTATTCATGTTCAAGCAGGTTTCAGAAAGTGCAAATTTTTTCATATTATATGCTTAATCATATTATATCGTGTATAATAAGGTAAATTAAACTCATTTTCAATAGTCAAGTATTTAAGTTTATGACAACTATAACACAAGACCATAACAAACTTAATAAATGAAACGACGAATAACCAAGGGGTAATGCTAAAAACCTATGGAGCGAAAATACAAGTGTGATGACACCATCAGTCAAAATGATACCATACAATTCAACAATAGCAAAAAAATCTAATTAGTTTTACGAATTATAACTTTCTAACAATTTCAATAACCTGAGAAACAACATAACAAGTCAATCTGATATTCATACCTAATAGATCTGTAACTATCATCAGAATCAAGCATGGTATGTTTATTTTTGTTACTGTTATTCACCTTCTTCACTCTCCAAAAGCTCTTCCTTTTTCCTCTTCGCTATCTTCATTCTTTTATTTTGAGCAGTGGCGTCTGGTCTTATAACTGGCATAACCACATAAGAGCTTATTATATTTTTGGAATTAGCTTATAAATGTCTAAAACTAATTATACATTATTTGCAAGGTTATCGATAGCGGATAACGTCGCGTAGCGGTGAGGCATCGCTAAGGCTATTTCGGGCTATTGCGACAAAATAGCAGTAAAAAGCGCAAAGTCAAATAGCGGTCTAATTTAGATATGTATAAATACTAAAAAAAATTAAAAAAAATCTAAGAAATCTAAAAATACATATTAGATGATTTAAAGAGATCCTAAACATGAAATAGACATGTAACCATAACGTAACACCAAAGATGACTAGAAGAGTCAAGAAGTCGTCGTCCAAATAGCGGTCTAATTTAGATATGTATAAATACTAAAAAAAATTAAAAAAAATCTAAGAAATCTAAAAATACATATTAGATGATTTAAAGAGATCCTAAACATGAAATAGACATGTAACCATAACGTAACACCAAAGATGACTAGAAGAGTCAAGAAGTCGTCGTCTTCGAGAAGATGAGCTTAGTGGTGATAGGACTGCCTAAGAGGAGCTCACGGTGAAGGGGGTGAGAGGAAGTATCAATGTAGGTGCCAGAGACTATGAGAGGTGGTGGGAGTATGCTGAAAATCACAGGTGACGGTGGAATGCAATGATCAATGGTTGGGTTTAATTTTAAAAAAATAAGCCTCAAACCGCTTTTAAATAGTAGTCAAAAAGCAAATTTTGAATGCAATCGCTCACTATTTACCGCTATGACACACTATTGGCCGCTTTTGCGAACAGACATATTCCGTAATATATCACCGCTATTGCGTGATAGCATAGCGGACGATAGCGTCGCGGGAATGGACCGCTAACGCTATTAGCGCCGCTATTGCGGGGCTATTTACCGCTATTTATAACAATGATTATTTGTTACCCCTCTTGTCTTCCCTTTTGATTGTGCTGATTAATCCTCCTCCAACTCGAAGTGTATCAAGGCGTCCTCCTTTGCAGACATGGTCTTCTCTAGTTTACTCATCATTAACTCCATATAGGATAGGCAAATTGGATAACAGGTCTCGTTGGTTTCTTCCTTTCTCATTTGCCCAAATTTAGGCTGTACTTAATAAAACCATGCCATTAAGCTTCAGCTTTTCCAAAGTTTGTCTCTATCAGTGTGGCATTAGAAAGTGAAACATTTGGATTCCTTATCCAAAATTGGGTTGTAAAGATTGTTTGAAACTTTCAATACTGAGTGGACGAAGAACAATGGAAATGACTGTAAGTATATATCTACTTACGAACTTATTGCTATGGGCTTGGATGATCTCCTTTGTTAAAAGACTTGATCTATTTGAGACTTGCAACTTGTAATTGACCAAACTGGTTATCTTATGAGTTTGAAGTCCTTTTGTGAGTCAAGTCCACTTATTGTACTAAATCGTAAGATATGTACTAACTATTATGCTTATATCAATTGGTGTCAGATTTGATAGAATACCATGGATTTGAGTCTTCATTTAATTTTCTTTTTTGGCTAGTGCTTCTAGGAGGACCCAAAAATGGGACAGAGTGGTGGACAGGTGATGTGGCAGTGTACACATCTCCATCAATTATGATGACTGGGCTGTAATTATACTGACTTCAACTTATATCAGGGTATTTTTGTCATCAAATTCTCTCTTTGTCTTCGCCAATCTAAAAACTCCAACTCCAAAGAGCCCATATTATTCTTTTCCCAAATAAAAAAAGATCAGTCACATCATCTTCTTTAATCACAGTTGGCTCCTTCTTCAATAATCAGGAACACTATGAACGACGCCATTACCTTTCTCCAATCATCCTGCATCATTAATCTTCATTCTATCAATAATTCTATCATATAGAGTAATTGGGGCTGGACCATTTCTCTTTCCTTCCTTCAAGAATTTTCTTTATCATGTGAGTGCTTGAGTAAGTGTTTGATTCACAAGCCAGCAAACAAGATATTGATTCAAGACGTGATAAACTCATATAGAAATTCATTTGCAATAGGTGACGAAGATCATATTATAGAAGCAAAATAAGCAGTGAAATTGCTATGTCTTCATAAAAAGAGATGAACAAATATACTAGGTTTCATTTTTATAAAAATTCTGAAGTCAAAATTAATAAAGAGGATATGAGATTTATTTTTGTTGGCAATTTGAGGTTTTTTCCATTATGCTAGCTTATTGGGATGTTGAGGGTTTGGTAAGACTGGTGGTCATTATCAGAGTTGTCAAAGTCACCTCACAGGCTCGCGGAGATGGTGTTGACCAGGACATCGTCATCGTCGCCGAATTCCGGCCATCAGTACGACCGCAGTAGCAGTCAGAAGGCGACGCTAGGGTTTTCAGTGTGTAGTCCTTTTTCTGAGGTACAACAGAAGAAGGCGGCGTTGAGATAAAATTGTAAAGAAAGATTACTTTTAACTATTCCCAAGTTGCCCTTTGCAACCATTTATTGCGGTCCAACCTTTCAAACAAAGATAAATGACAAATTGTGCCAACTCATCTATTCCATCCAAGGGTCCCAAATATTTGGGTCCAAAAAAATTATTCTTGTAAAAATATTATAATAATTAGGGGACTTTTAATGCGGTTGTATACATGTACACATTTTATCATCATGCTCACTCATCTCTGCATCAGACTTCTTACTTCTTCATCACCTGTTCGTGACATATACCCATCCACACTCCAGGATCCAGACATGAAAAATCCATATCTTAACTCTAAAGTTATGGTAAAGGTCGAAGATCATATTTTTATATTAATTCTAACATGCCCCCGCTGGTTGAATGCGCTTTATATGGGCTGAAAACTTGGACTCATGCAGCGATAACAATTTAAAAGTACGCATTAAATTTGTGGTCACCAGGATTCGAACCTAGGTTGCTTTGATACCATCTTAAGTTGAGTCCCTCTAACCATTAGACCAAAACTCCAAAGTTATGGTGAGGGCCGATGATTATATTTTAATATTAATTCTAACACCATGATATACCAATCATTAAATTTTCAAGTTTATGTATTCTAATATGAACTAGTACAACATGTAAAATCATTTTTTAGAGAATTACTGTGGTTGAAAGATTGGGTTTGTACCTCCTAAATAGTAAGTATTAAAAGAGAGATTCACAAAGGAATACAACATCTGTTGTGAGATCTTTTGTCTTCTCTTTTCACTTCTTTTTCTCTTTCTATCTTCTTGTCTCATTCTCTTTCTTATAAGACAAAGGTTAAGTCAGTTCTCACGAGTCCCATAGGCTACATCCATTAGATTTAAAGTTCTGGTGATTTGTGGTCTCTGATTTATGTATATTATTTTTTAAGCAACTCATTTCTTTAAGATTTAAGATGTGTATTTGAGAGAATGCTATCTCGTCTGAGGCCGAGAAAAGTGTTTAAAAAACAAAGTCCTTAAAAAACATAAGAACTGAACTCATCACTTCTCCTAACAAGTTTGGATTTATGCATTGTGATTTAAAAAGTTCCTCCAATTGCACCTTTTGTTCCAAAGTCATTAACCAAGAATAATATGAACTAATCACTAAATTCTCAAGATCTCAAATCACTGCCAATTTTTATCTTCAGCCAACTTCAAAATTTTTGCCTTAGTTTACCAGCATACTTTATGGCTTTTACATCTGGTAACTGTATGACTATCACACCCTTCTAGTCTATTGGTTCTCGTCCATCTCAATTCCCACAGTACAGTTACTTGTTTATTGAAAATCTTAGAATTGCTTAAATGTTTTAACAATAGATTAATGGTTTATTTTATGACCATCTTAACAATTTTCCTTTGATTTTGTACTTGAAAGCACTTGAAAACTTTATTTCTGAGTGATAAAGGTTGTTTCGATACGCTAACCCGGATCCATAATTGTTCTTGGATATTTGGATCTGCATGTATGTTTTTCTTCTGTCAGGTTTTCGAGTTGAGTAGAAATCAGGGTCCAGAGGAAGCATTCCATTTGTTCAGAAACGTACCTCGTTTCAGAATTCTTGTTTGCGGTGGAGATGGGACAGTTGGTTGGGTACTGAATGCTATAGACAGGCAAAAGTTTGAATCACCTCCACCGGTTGCGATTCTTCCAGCTGGAACTGGCAATGACCTTGCAAGAGTTCTGTCTTGGGGAGGTGGTCTTAGTGCTGTTGAAAGACGGGGAGGATTATATACATTTCTTCACCATATAGAAAATGCTGCAGTTACCCTTCTTGATCGCTGGAAGATAGAGATAAATTCCCAAGCCTCTCTAGTGCAACCCCTGAGATTTATGAACAATTATCTTGGTACATTTAAACATTTAAACTTTTCCTCTAGATTAGGTATAACTTTGTTCGTTTTAACAGGGATTGGATGTGATGCGAAAGTTGCATTAGATATCCATAATTTGAGAGAGGAAAACCCTGAAAAATTTTGTAATCAGGTAAACGATCTCTCTCCTACAAAATTAGAGTACATTCAAATAGTTGTTTTGTATTCTTAAAGTCCCTTATTATACTAGAACTCTAAAGTTATGGTGAGAGCTGAAGGTTATTATTTTATATTCTAACATACTCCCACAGGTTGAGTGCCCTTCTCTATAGGCTGAAACCTAGACTTACGTAGCGGTATCTATTTTTTTAGGTCCGCAATAAATTTATGGTCATTGGGATTTGAACTTGGGTTACTCTGATACCATCTTAAAATCCCTCTAACCATTACACCAGAGCTCTGAAGTTGTGGTGAGGGCTGAGGGTTATTATTTTATATTCTAACATGTATATTTGTGATGTTTTTGTAGGGTTCTAGTTTTTTTCCTTGCATATGTTTTTCTCGAGTGTTCTTTATTCTTGATGAAATTTTTGCCTCTGCTCTGGATGTCCACCGCAGTTCATTTCTTTTGCATACTTTGTATGCTTGACAATTTAAGCTGAACCCCCGTCAAGGAAATTGTAAAATTGAATAAGCTATGTAAAACGCATTTGCATTTGAGAGTTTTTCTATTTCACCTCATAGTGACATTCATGGCAGCGGTCTATCAGCTGAAACAAATTGCTTGAATCGAGTATTGATTATAAGGTGATCTGTAAAGGATGCAAAAACACGCAACGCAGGAAATTTTCATGTGTTGCAATTTCAAAAACTCATGGTAGAAAATTAGGATGGACGATACAATCTGTTCATCATAATTTACTTGGTCTAAATTTTTGTGGAAGAAAATTGGTGCGATTTAAAGGCCTTCTTTCCTATCAGTAGGTGATCCCATCTTTTTGTATTATTAAGAAGATGCACAATTTACAGTCACTTGATGCATAAGAAGAAAACTTCAAGTCAAATGATTTTCATTTGCAGCATTTTTGAGCATGTAAATCGTGATGAATTGATGGAATATCCTTGCGATCAGTCCTTGCGTTTTGTTTCAGTAGAAATTTGTCAAGTCATCTCCTTTGTGGAAGATGATGTGGGAGGGCCTTGACTTCTCCTTGCCTCAAACTCTTAGCATCTCGCCTACACATGCGACAAATCGTTAGAGGTGCCGGAGTGGGCTGCTCTGGTTGGCCCTCTGGTGGTCAAGTTAGTCATCCCTTAAATGTGACTTGAATGCAAGAGAATAACTGTCAGATGCTGCTTGGGATGCCCAATTTAAGTTAGAAAATTTTTATTGTCATGAGGGCTTCCTTTCTATGGACGATTGTACAGTTGGATCGAAGCTTCCTCGTGACTGCCTGTCCCTTGATTTGAGGGAATACTGAATGGACGTAAGGCGGCGTGGTGGCTGACTGGACAAGGGCATGGAGCAGGGTGCCCCACTGATATACCTACCATTCCCTAGGTGGTATGCTGCACATGGGCTATGTTCAGTTAGGAGGTGAAGGATGGTGAAGTCTTATCTTCATCAAGGGTGAGCTCGAGCTCGTCGAGGATAAGCTATGTCGCTTCAGGGACTGAAATGGGTGCTTATCCTGACCTGGGTTTATGATGCTGAGGTGATCCCTGCTGATCTCTGAGGTGATCCCTGCTGATCTCTTCTGCTAGATTGGCATTGGCAGAATCGTACGGTAATCTTGCCGGAAGGGTCTGAACATGTGGGATGCTTCGATTGGTTCTTGGGATGGGGTTAATGATATGCACAACACATTTACACTACACTTTGGTGCATATCTACTTCTTTCTAACTCTGCGTGTGTACTTGTGGAGAGAAGCCAGTTGAACTAAGAAGCAATTTGACTTGATATTATCACGAGAATGGAACAAAAGAAGAATTTTTTATAACTAAAAATTGGAAGTATCTAATGCAGTGAATATACCATAGGTTGGTGAGGATACGGTTCTCTCGGTTCATGAACGTGGACTATCTACATGAGTTTGGATTTTGAGTTCAAGATCTCTATAATATGGGTCTCAATAAGAAGTTATTTTTATCTATCATTCTAAAATGATAGAATCATTCTTCCGATAAGCACTATAACCTACGAAATAATCAGGAGTCAGACTTCTCAGATCAGGAACATGATTGAATATGAGATGATGATAGATGATGTTAGGAATTACTAGAACTCTATAAGAGTTTATGTTATTTATTCCCTTTGAACTCCTACTGGTCAAAGTTTGAGTTGAAAGTGAAATTTATGCATACATACATGTGTACTACATAGAATTTTTAAGCTTGATCAGTGGCATACCCTTTTAAGGAATCAGTGTTGTTGCGTCCTTGTTTATATCACATCGCCATGTTCATGCTTAGATTCTGTTCTACAAGTGAAGCTAGGAGGCAGGCGTAGAGACTGCTTTAAACTTGCTGAGCCATAGTAAACACAAACAACCTTACATAGTACTTTGGAAGTACAAGGGACCAACATGTCAGCCCAACTCCATGAATTTTTAGTGGCGGAGTCAGAGTTATATCCATGTAGTTCCATATTTCTAGCCCAGTTAGAACTCATCTTAATATTGTTCAAGGAAACAGAGATTCATAGAATAATCTTTTACGCCTTTTTTGTGTTTGATTTGGCAAGAATTTTTTTTGTGTCGCGGAAACTAACAGATGGATTTACGGAGAGATTGTGAATCATCCTTAAACAATGGAATTAACATTTCTGGTCTTCTGCGAGTAAGTGCTCATGTAAGGAAAAAATGACGTTAAATGAGGGGCTTCCCTTCTGTTTGATTATTCCATTCATGATTCATTAACAATCCACTATAAACATGTGTTACATTTCCTGTTAAAGTGATAGTGGTAGCTGAAGATTCATTATTTGGTTTCTTTTCTTTCTGGCTGAGATTTTCTTTATTGACTTTCGAAGGTAAAAGCTTCTCTGTTACTGTGCAGTTCTTAAATAAAATACTCTATGCAAGAGAAGGTGCAAAGAACATTATGGACAACACTTTTGCGGACTTCCAATGGCAAGTTAGACTAGAGGTAGATGGCGTCGAAATAGAAATTCCTGAGGTGAGTTCCTGTGATTTATCTTAAGATGCTGAAACTTTGAGTTAAACAAGGACCCTCTTCTCCTTTCCTCTTCGTAGTTCTTCTATCACTTCTGGACCACCAATTATTTGCAACAGAATAAAAGAGAAAATTTTAGTTTGTGAATGCTTCCAAGGGACAGGAAAAAGAAATGGAATATGCTAATCAAGTAATCACTTTTATCATTGTTTGGTTACTCTAATAAAGCAAAAAGGGTGTTGAGTCTTTTTTCTCTACTGAGCTCTTGCAGGGCGATGTGTTGGGTCTGTGATTTGTTGATAACTATTAGGTTAGCAATACTACCGTTACCCTTTTTTAAACACCCAAACCATGCTTCAGCTTCTATTCCAGTGAGTTGGAAGGTGTTTCAGAGCAAACAGAGGGAGATAATTAGCGCGCTCTCTTGGATGCTATTAATAGAATTAGGAAAACAAAGAGATTTGTCCCTAATCAATGTGGGACTAAACTCACAATAACACAAATTTTCACACTTTCTCTCAAGTTGAGTGTACGTATCGTACATGCTTAGCTTGTCACAAATAAAATTCACTCGTGTTCTCCTAAGAGGTCTTTTGAGAATATTTGCGAGTTGATGCTCTAATGATATGTGTTTGACTCTAATGGTTCTCTTCTCCATCTTCTCACAAATCAAGTGGCAATCAATCTTTACATGTTTGTCTTCTTATAAAACATCAGGTTCCCAGCTATGTGAATGGCAGCCTTGTTGTCTTCATACAAACTCATAGGACACTCAAGAGGATAATTAATTTTTATTAATATATCTCTAAACCAGATTAGCTCATAAGTCATATTCGTTATAACTCGATATTCGGATTTAGCTATAGATCGAGAGACTGCACTTTACTTCTCACTCTTCCATGATACTAGATTTCCTCCAAGAAACACACTATCCAGTAATCGATCGTCTGTCCACAGAAGAGCTTGTTCAATCTGCATATGAGAATTCTGCAACTCTCGTGTAACCGATTCTGAATAGAAAACTTCTTTTCTTGGAGTTTTCTAAAGATTCCTGAGAATCCTCTTTACAGCTTCTATATGGGGTATCCTAGATGCCGAAGAAACTGACTAGCTACATTGGCAACAAATGCAATATCTAGTCTAGTGATTGTTAGGTCGTTTAGTTTCTTTACGAGTCGTCTGTATTTTTAAATATCCTCCAGTAACTCCCCTTGATTTAGTATTAATTGATCTTGTCATCTATATGTGAGTCAATGCCCTTGCATTTTGACAACTCAACATTCAGCAACATATCAAACACATATTTTCTCTAAGATAAAAGAATTTTCTTCTTCGATCTAGCCACCTCGATACCTAGAAAGTATTTTGAGGACCTAAGATACTTAGTCGAAAATTGTCGCTATAGATGCTCCTTTAAATGACTAATGCCATTTGCATCATCTCTAGTGATCACAGTATAGTCAACATATACAACCAAAAGAATCTGTTTCCCACCATAAAATCTTTAGAAAACCGAGTGGTCTTTCCAAGCTCGATGAAGATCAAACGTCTGGACATCCGGACAGGTGCTGCAAAATGTCCAAACCAAGCTTTCGGAGATTGTTTCAAGCTATAAAGGGATTTCTTCAACTTGCAAATATTTCCATACTCCCTTTGAGCAACAAAACGTGGTCTTTGCTCTGTAAACCTCCTCATTAAGAATGCCATTAAGGAATGTATACTTAATATCCAATTGATGTAGTGACCAGTGATAGCGAGTCGCAAGAGAAATAAGAATGCGAATATATGTTATTTTTGCTACAGGAGAGAAGGTCTCAATATAGTCCACTCCATATATCTGTGAATATCCCTTTGCAGCAAGTCGAGCTTTGACGCGAGCTAGAGAGCCATCTGGATTAATTTGATTGTGTAAACCCACTTGTAGCCTACCGCCTTTTCCCGTGGTGGTAGTGAAACAAAATTTCAAGTCCCATTTTGTTCCAAAATTGTTATCTTCTCTTGCATTAGTGCCGTCCAACCTGGGTCAGATAGAACTTCTGACAAATTCTTGGGAACCGAGTGAGAATTCAAATAAGCTATGAAAGAATGATATAATGGAGATAACGAAGGGTAATGGACATAGTATGTAATAGGATACCGAGATTCAGGTCTCTTACCCTTTCAAAGGGTAATGGGAAGACCATCAGTAGTTTTAACACTCAGTTGTATGGTCATATTTTGACTAGCTAGTATATTGGCCTTTTGGTTGATTTGGCCTTTGACGCATGTTTTGGAGCAACACGTCTTGTATAAACCTGCATTGGTTCCGCAAACTCGGATGGTAGATCAGCATATACACCAGTCTTTAAAAGAACAATAACAATGGTTTCCTGAATGACAAAGGAGTCATAATCATCGTGAGTGTCTGAAGATTCATCAAAAGCATTATTGTCTGGTTTGTTTTTAAAGAAGGTAACATCAGCTGAAATAATATAATGATTTAAAGAAGAACAATAACACTTGTATCCTTTTTGTGTTCTAGAATATCCAATAAAAAAATATCCCTAAGAGACTTCAAATCTAATTTCGTCCTTTGAAGATTATGATTGTGAATAAAGCATAAAGACTCGAAGATATTGGGAGGTAAATAAAAAGCGTCTTCATCTAAAAGTACAAAAGGGAAGTAGGAGTTTTGTTTCCTAAAACAGATAAGGGTAATCTATTGATCAGATAGCAAGCAATCAAAAAGGCCTCTCCTAAAAATATTTTGGAACTTCACGATGAAATAATAGTATTCTAGTAATTTCTAGCAAATGTTGGCTCTTATGCTCAGATACCCTGTTTTATTAGGGTGTATAAATACAAGATGACTAGTGTATAATTTTATTTTTTTCTAAATATTTTGTGAATGAATTATCAAAATATTCCTTAGCTTTGTCTGTTCTTAAAATTTTAATGGTATTATGAAATTGATTTTTAACCTTAGCACAAAAAACTTTAAAAATAGAGAACACTTTAGAATAATTTTTCAGCAAATAAATCCAAGTTATGCAAGAAAAGTCATCTACAAAACTAACAAAATATTTAAAACCGAGTTTTGATGGAATAGAATAAGGAACCCATACATCTGAATGAACTAAATCAAATGGGTTACTAATCCTCTTATTGACACAACTTGGGTAAGAAACTCGATATTTTCTTAGTTGACATGACTCACACTCTAAGGACTCAACCTGACTCAAATCTGAAACTAAAGTTTTAAGAACCGAAAATAGGAGTGATCAAGTTGACAATGTGCATCAAATACTAATGTAGAGCTGATGTAGGCCACCTGGTCCTTAGTAAAGTCTAGCTCATACAAGTCGTCCCGCTCATGTCCTATGCCAATCGCCTTCCTTGTCCAGAGTGTTTGAAAATTACAATGTGTAGCAAAAAATATTAAGGTGTTTAATGCTTTAGTAATCTTATTGACTGATTAGAGATTAAATGAAAAATGAGAAAGATATAGCACAAATAAAAGTGGAATAGCACTAATATTGGTAGATCTAACACATTCTAAAGGTGTAGTGGAGCCATCAGCTAATACTGCTGAAGAAAAAGAGACAGTAAGTGTGCCTGAGAATAATATACCTTAGTTCCCAGTCATATGATCATTGTCTCTAAATCGATAATCAAAATATGAGATGATGACGATGTAGGACAAGCAGTGGGTTTGCCTGACTGGTCAAGTGTAGATATAGTAGGAGATGTCTTCTTAATTGCTGGAATAGCTGAAGTTGGAACTGCTCAAGCTAGCGGCCGGTTTCATCTTCTATGGGACTCTCTTAGGCAGTCACATGAACACTCTGATACTATTTTCTATATAACCCAAGATGATGGAATTTCATATGACCTGGCTTCTTGCAGTAATGACAGTGAATAGAGGAACTATCTCCTGTAGCTCTTTGTGAACTATCATCTCATCCTCCACGTGCTTTAATGTGTCCTCCATGTCCACCAATACGACCTCCACCACGGCCATCACTTCGACTAGTCGATTATCTACTTTGTATGGCAAGAGTAAACATGTTTACAGACTCAGTTGTGTTACTCATTGAAAGTGTCGTAACTACTGATCTTAAAAAATAATATCTTTGCTAAAGAGTGTATAGCAGAGCTCTCAAAAACCTATAGCTTTGCTGAGCTATGGGATTGCGGAAGAGAACCGGGAATGGTGAGTACCATCAGCTAATCTCATTGGCCCTGCATTTTCTATCCTTCCCCTATAATAGGGAAAATCAGTCTTAACTCCTCTATGAGGCGATTGAAGTTGCCATAGTGCTCATCGAAAGTCTGACTCTACTCACCCATCTTGCTCCTAAACAACTCTTGAATAACATCATATGCCCGATTAGCGTGCCCATGACCTGAGTATAATTGCTCCAAAAACTTTCAGACCTGTTTCACTATATTACAGTGAGTCGTTAGCTAAAGGACTTGTGGTTCCATGCTATTCCAAATATGATGAAGGGGACCAATGTCATCTTATTTTCAAGAGGCGGTAGCTGGTACGGGGGATCATCAGTAAAATGATGATATTTCCTCCAACCTAAAACATAGACTCAAGCAGGTAATTAGACCCATTTAATATCTGATCAGTGACCTTGCTAGAAAGTACCTATGTGTGGGTCTTCATTTCAATCCTCTCTACCGCTATAATAGTAGAATCGCTTGAATACGCAATCAATGCAACAAATAAGATCCTCTAGTAAGTAATCTCCCAACAAATAAAACTATCAATCTATTGTCAGACACTGCTCAACCTCGTCAAGCAAGCCCAATAAAAAATCAACCTCCAACAAGCAATCACACCATCAATAACAAATCAAAGCATCAACAAGCAATCATGCCATCAACAAGCAATCAAACCATCCTCTAGTAAGCGTTGTCTTTTTACTATTCAGATCTAGAACCTACGGATCTGGAATAGTTTTTTTTTTGGTGGGGGGAGAGGGGGGGTCTGGGGCTTTCAATCTAGGCAGTGGGGTTTACTGAACAGGGAAGTCGAAGTCAACATGAGAGAAGGGGTCAGGTTGGATCTGATCGGGGTGAGACAGAGGGTCATGATGCTGCTGAAGGCAAGGGTAGGGCAGCGGCAAGGGTCGCCATTGGAGGTAAGGGTAGGGAAGCAGCAGAGCGGTGAAGGTGAGGGCAGGGCGCTGGAGGCGGTAGGGATCTTGGCCTAACAAGAGAGGGGTCTTGTTATGGGATGTTAGAGGCGGGATAGTGTTTCAACTGTGGCGGGAGGGCTGATCAATGAGCAGGGAGGGGAATTAGGCTAGGGTTTAGAAATTTGGAGAGTAGAGAGTGGCTGGCTCTGATACCGTATTTCAGGTTAAATAGAGAGAGATAATTAGCTCTCTCTCTTGAATGTTATTAATAGAATTAGGAAAACGATGAGGCTTGTTCCTAGCCAGTGTGGGACAAAAGACACAATAGAACAACTCTCAATAGAAGGAACAACAGAAAAACGTGAAAGTACTATAATAAATGGAAATGGATAGTGTTTCAACTGTGGCGGGAGGGCTGATCAATGAGCAGGGAGGGGAATTAGGCTAGGGTTTAGAAATTTGGAGAGTAGAGAGTGGCTGGCTCTGATACCGTATTTCAGGTTAAATAGAGAGAGATAATTAGCTCTCTCTCTTGAATGTTATTAATAGAATTAGGAAAACGATGAGGCTTGTTCCTAGCCAGTGTGGGACAAAAGACACAATAGAACAACTCTCAATAGAAGGAACAACAGAAAAACGTGAAAGTACTATAATAAATGGAAATCTTAGGGCTATAGCTTTCTTCTAGATCCTAAAACCTCTTGAATATATGGAAGAATTGAAGGAGAGCTTAATTTATTTATTCTCTCTTTGTTTTTCCTAGTAGTTTCTGTTATACCAACACAACCCATGATTTCATCACTACTTTCACAGCGGCATCTATGCACTAGAATACTTTCATTAAGCTATTAACAATATTTTCAGGGTTCTGAAGGTGTGCTTGTTACAAATATCAGAAGCTACATGGGAGGAGTTGACCTATGGAAAAATGAAGATGAAAACTATGACATATTCAGCCCACAATCAATGCATGATAAGAAGCTAGAAATAGTCAGTATAGGCGGAACATGGCATTTGGGGAAGCTCCAGGTAACTAGGAAAGCCATTCATATCCCACCATTATGTACATTGAAACCTCTTAATAATTAATATCATAGATTTGTTCAATTATCTTGAATTGGATACAAATCACTTAGTGATGAGTGGCAATACCAGAGCTAATACAGTGTCGGTACTAGGTTGGACTGTCTAGTGCTCAAAAGCTGGCACAAGGGCAATACATCAAGATCCAGCTCTTTGCTTCATTTCCTGTTCAAATAGATGGAGAGCCTTGGATTCAGCAACCATGCATTCTTGAGATATCTCATCATGGACAGGTTGTTTTTCTTCTGTCTTATGTCTAAAACAAATATATATCATATACTCATCAAGACGGTATTTTAACATGAAATCTGAGCGAGAACAATCTCCCATTAGCGGAATGCACATACAAAGAGAATCCTGTATGTTTTGAGACATGTTGGATATTCGCATTTTTTGGTATCCATGTCCAACCTAAACATGTTATATGCTAAATGGATATCAGATACTGATATCCACATTCAAAAAATAAACGCAAACGCGTATATGAAAGAAATTATTTATATCCAACTTGCAATCTCATTCCGGACTGCGTCACACAGGAACCTGAAAATGGTCTTAACAAAGATCTGCCAGCAGAATGACACAGAGCTATAGAACAATGAGCAGGATCTCGTAATTCACACTTGAGTTCATTTGGATGGGGAGCTGTATTCTTGTTCATTAACCAATCAACCTTTTGTTTCTATCATCTATGCTTTCTTGATGGTCAGCTATCCTTCTAGTTGGATGGATGTTTTGCCCCAGGCAATTTTTAGGGTAATTGCGTATTAGTCCCTTAAATCATCTTTAATTGCCAAAAAGTCCCTCAAATCTCAGTATTTGCGAAAAAGCCCCTCAAATCATCAATTTTATTGCCAAATTGTCCCTCTGGTAAGTTGAAGGGGTGAAATTCTGTCAACTCAAACGAAGATGTATAGATTTCCCATTATCCAACATGCACCCCCCCCCCCCCCA